TTAAAAAATGCCAAGTGAACAGTTACAGACCATTGGACAGAGAAGCAAAACTATCATATGTATCTTGCTTACAAAACTGAATATACATCTTCTCTTTGAATGCGTCTTTCTGAACTTTCCTGAAGACTGTTGCTCAAATCCAAGCAAATGCTACAGAGCGACTCCACAAATTCCACAATAGATCTCCCTTTTCAAGAGACCAAGCGAATTCACAACAAGAAAACATGCTACTCACATGTCTCTCCCATCAGTAGTACCACCGTTACACTGTGATCAGATACTAACTGCATAAAGGTGACTGGTGTATCTGTGTTACGAAAGTCAGAGGCTAAGGGATTACCTGGATGATCCATTATATTCCGACCAAATAAACCACGATGAAACCAAACTTCCTCGTGTGACCTAGCAGTGTCATGTCGAACGCCACCCGATTCGAGCTCCCAGGTTTTATTTATCAGCCTTTAGATCTTTCGTGGTGATCATTGATGCAATCTGACCGTTCATTTCCAACTATAAAGATGGGCTTGAAAATATAACACCGCCAATATTCCTACCTAGTATATGATTCATACACCCCTAGGCATTCATGGAGATGAAATCTGGAGCAGGGGTGTCAAGATAAATCACTGCCATTGCGAAATTTCGATCACGCAACTGCCGTAGGTGACAGGGGACAAGACAAGCACCGTCCTCTAGAAACATGCAAACTGGGAATAAAATATTAGCATACGCGCTGAAATTATCAAACAAAACACGAGTTGTCCTGTGATTGACGTGTCTCAAAAGATTGCTTTAATTAGACCACATGTTTCACATACTACGCTCCCTAAATCCTATATAAATGAGGAAAATCTCAGTTTTATGGACGGATGGTTCTTCAAAGATAGTACAAAATCGAACATGAGGTGACCTAACGCAACAAATTCCATTGTAGAACCACTTCATAATCGAGGGATTCACCCTGGATTCAACTATCTCTCTTGGAAACCAAATTGGTTTGTGGATATGAGTGTACTTTTCCAGAATGGTGACTTATGCATTTGTATGTATTAACCGCACGGATCACTCTAATGTCCAACACTCAACTCGACTTGCACTAGGAAAGACTGTGACCTCAACACCCCATTTTAACCGAAAAGGTACGATTTATTTACAGGCCACTTATCAGCACTTCGTGATGGAGGGTTGGTCCAGGTGAATCTTTTAGGCAGAACCGTTGCTCCAAATAGACGAAAGAACGTTTAGCCTGGTCCAGTTATTTAGTCGATTCGTGAAACAGAGGAATTTGGAAACAACCAAGCTGGAAACTTTCAGTCCGTTTTCATGACTGACTGCAACTTTGGATATGTGAATGGTGTCGTGTTTCTAATATTCACATGGTTATCATACAATGTTTATCAGCACTGTGTAGACTCCGACATCATTCAGACGGGTTATGCCCTACACAAATACAACCTGATCATGGTCTCTCTCTCACGCCATCATGTCCCACCCGAATTCGCTTCTTTTCCACGTGTTTTGGTGTGCACACTTTTCAGGGTTTTTTTCACACAATCTTACACGCTACAATGTATTTCCCCATCTTTTATGAATAAACGCGACCTGTATGACTTCTTTTGTGAGCTCCGTTAGATTGAAACCTTTTGGGCTTAATGTAAAACAGTGTTTCCACTTGTATCCGGGATTTTTAAAAATGGTGGCAGGATGGTTATCCTGGCGTTGAGTGATGACAAACACCGGAGGCTATTCCAAAACTTTAATGAGAATTGCGAAGACTAAGCAACGCAACCCTGTGAAAATAAGACCGCAGTGAACCAAAATTTTACCCAGGGACGACAAAACCAATTATGCAGTTAGTGAAAGCAGAACTCCGACGCCAACAAGTCTGGAAAACGCTACGACGCCAGTAGAACAATGCGTGAAATCATCAAAACCTTGAGTTAAAATAATTGGTCGAAAACAATATAAATCACAAACGGATCGGTCGTCTAACAAGAGGACGCTTTGTTATAATAGTAATTTAGATATTCTCTTCAAAAATCTACAAAAAATGTAATTTGAAGACTTGAACGTGGTACACTTATTCAGGCAATCAAATTGCCGAGCTCAACGAACAAGCCAACGACATCTACGCTAACCGAGCTACCAACGTTTTCCTTCGTTGATGGTACTTACTCGATTTTTCAAGTATTTATGGACTAAGAAATGTATCCCAACTGTCGCAAGTTCATCCCCAAACATTTCTGTTGTTTGGAGTTCAAAGTGTCATGTCGATGAGGGTCGACTGAAAGCAACAGTCACACTGACTTGTCACGTCCACATTCTTGCGCCATCACAGGTTGCTTGCAGTTAGCTTTGTTGTCTCAGTTGTTTGTCCTAAAATGCCTTCCGCATTTGACACTACCCACTTTGCAGAGTTTTTCATCCAGCTGGTTTTTCTTTGGTAAATGCAGTGCCCAACACTGAGGTTCTCTGGAGAAGTTGCCAGACGTTTTGTCTTCGGTTTGGTCTCCAATGGTCGAGAGATTGGACAGTCAGCAGTATAATGGCGAATCGGGCAGTTTAGCGTGACAGCAGAACCTGATGTTTACCATTGAATCATCTACGCTGACTGGATAGAATGATACACGAATGACTAAACTAAACTGATGATCCCCGATGCTAGAAACCTCATTAGACACACCGGTCGTGTCTGTCGCTGAAATATTGGAAGATGTTGTGTGCCAAACGGTTCACCTAAAAGACGGAACTTCCGAAAGGCACTCACGATCTGGGTTAGGCTGCCTGTGCATACACAAGGAAACCATACATTTGGTGTAAAAACGAGCGAATTAAGCCAGTAGTCCAAAAAGAAAACGAAATACAATAAAGAAAAATTATTAAAACGTCCAGTTCTTGTTAATCGATCTGTGGTGGGAGGGTAACATGATGTGATTCGATGTAGTTTCCAACATACTTTCAAGTGGAAAACTGAAATCGAGATTTAGGAAACAGCACCGCACCGCTCAACCCGGACTATTAACCGAAACATCACGTTACATTCTGAACGGGACGAAACAAGTTGCAACACTCCGACATCAAGCTCTGTATATATAAACCGTGTTATAGGACATTTTCCAGAGAAACCCAACTTGATGTTTCCTTGCAAAACAAATCTTCCTTATCACAGCAAAACAGATAGAAGGTATTCGAATAAAATCTTTTTGTATTCGAGAAACAGTCCTAGTGTTTACGTCAACAACCCTAAGGCCTACGATACTTGGGATGGAAGAACTGTTGATACAATGAGGACAAATGACGTCACGTCTTGTATTCAGTTTATATTTTGTGATGAGAACCATGAGACGTTGGACAGATTATCTCCCCCCCCCC